TCTTTCCCCATTTCTAGAGTGGAGAGACAGTAAGGGTCATCTTGGGTCCCCGTTGACATGCACACCAAAGCAAAGTGTCCCCCATGAGGCCCTCCATGGCCCTGCTCTTTTCCACTTTGCCTTGCCCTCTCCATCCAGTGTTGGCATTCCCTACAGACTAGTTCTAGGCCTTGTATTTCACTGTGAAATGGTCTCTCTTTGTGTTTTCTTAAGCTTTCTTAAGTTTTCAATAACATTTGCTTATTGCCTGATCAATTTCAAAATGACATTCTTGAGACAGGTCACTGAGGCCCCAGACATGAGACACTTTCCCCAGATGCACCTTTGTTTCTGTAAGGAGATTGTTGTTTGCCTTTTGAATTTCTTCTGTCCTTTCTTCCATTTCCTTTGACTCCCCATGTTCATGTTCACTGCCATTCTCAAATGTTCCCTTGAAAGCTTGCGGTATTCATTCCCATCATATTGTGCTGTACTAGCCCTACTATTATAATGCAATTTTATCTTTATTAATGTGTTTATTGTTTGAATAAGAGAGGGAAGGAGGGAAGGAAGGGAGAGAAGGAGGGAGGTAGAGAAAGAAAGGAGGGAAGGAGGGAGGGAGGGAAGCGTGAATTATTAAGAATGTGGAATAAATGGGCACAGAAAGCTGAACACTGATGAAGGGATCAATCAGTCATCTTCATGTGTCAAATCATCCACCCTAGTCCTGTGCCAAACCAGTCATTGAAAATAAAGTGGGTAAGGAGGAAAGAAGAGAAGGGAATAGAACATTTAATTGGCTATTTTAAAATGTTGTTTACTTAAAAATATATATATTGACCATTGAAATGAAAAAAATATGTTTTATTTAATGACCTCAACACATATCAGTTAACCTGCTGTTAACATTCTGTAAGAATAAAAAATGTGTATTTTGAAACATTTAAGTAGAATATTGAGAGAACCATCTACATATAGAACCTCCTTATGTTCAGGACAGGTCCCAATCTAAGTAGATTTATGTTTAGAAAAATGCATTAATGGGAATAGAAGAACATGAGATAAAGGTGGAAGTAGTCACCTTGATTTAAAAAAAAACAAAAACCCTGAAAGTTAATAATAGTCTTTGGTCATATGAGAGAATGCTGATCTGTGTTATCCATTCCAGTTCTAAAAAGTAGAAAATAGTCAAAGTACATTAGAAAAAGTATTATTCAATTCAATACGTGTTTACAGGACTTTTACTCTATGCAAGGCACCATGCTCAGTAAAGAATAAGGCACAATGTCTGTTTCCCAGATGCTGAGGAGTCAGTGCAGATGATAGAAAGTGTCTATTTTCTGTAGCCCAGCTAGATTTGAGAGTAGTTTCTGATTGTCAATTTATGTCAAAGTATAAATAAAAGATAGATTTTGATCTAAGGATAAAAATGACAAATTCTTCTAAATTTGGCCTTAGGTTTGTTAATCTGATATTAAGTAGAATAATATTAAAATTAAAATAATATTAACTATAAAATCATGTGAAACAGAACAGCTTCATATTTTCATTTAATGATATTTTAATTTATTTAATTTCTATTGAAGTTATTACATAATTACTCACTGACTTATTTTTAATCACCTCCCAAATTAAAGTTATGAACAAACTATCGCATCTAAAAGAATACAACTAAGGCTTTTACTAAAAGTAAATATTGAAAGACATATTAATACACAACTAATAAAGTACAGCAGAATAAGCAAAGTTGGGTTATACTGTAATAACTAAATTAATTTAAAGGTATAAAAGTAACATCTATGCATTTAAAGTGTTATTTTCAAATATTATAATTCGTTACTAGAATTCGAAGCCTGACACCTGAAAAACCTCAAGGATGGACAATAGGACCAAGTATTAGGAAAACAGAAGTGATCTATTATCAGTAACATTGTTCACTTACAAGTACATAAAACTTAATGACTCCCAAAATTCTTTCTAGACCTGGCTCACCCAACCCCTAACCTTACTATTCCTCGAGTATTCCTTGTCTGGATTAATGATTCCATCATTTATCAGGAACTTACATTAGAAACATAGGAGTCACCTTTGACACATCTGTGTCCCTACACATCCAGTGAATACCAGATTTTGAATATGCTACCTCCAAATCATACCCTACACCATTTCAATTCTCTCTAGCTCAGCTCTATCACATAATGCATACCTAAACATACCAACAAATTCTCTTCTCCTTTGTACAAGTGGTTTACCTGGCTTGAAATACTTCTTCCCAATTTTTTCACCTGTCTGTATTTATAGCCCATCATTAAGGTCTCTGTTTCAATGTCTCTTCTTCAGAGATGCATTCTCTGACTGCTAGTTTAAGTTTGGTTCTTCCCTGTTAAGTGGCTATCTGGTCAGCCTATCAGTGGTTTGCCTAACCAATATTGAAATCTCAGGCTGGCTTCAATGTTGGCTATCCCTTGCTTCTTCTCACGAGATTACTATTGTTGACAGTGCCTTTTTTTTTAGATAGAATATTCCATGTGCTCTGCTCCCCATCCCTGGTAGAAGTTCAGTGCCATGGGGCTGGAGGTAGAAGTGATGAGACTGGAGAAAACTTTGGCTTAAGATTTTTAAGTTAAAATATGTATGTGAAATCTTCATGTAAATTCTGGTGTTCTTCATTCCTTTGTACTGATTTGTATTTCCATGTATCATTTTTCTTCTTCCTCAAAGACTTAACATTTCTTGTAGTATGGTTCCGCTAGCAAGAAATTCTCTCAGTTTTTATTTGTCTGAAAAATATTATTTTACCCTCACTTTTGAAATTTATTTTCATTCAGTCTAGAATTCTAGAGTGACATTTTTTTTTATTCAATACTTTTGAGATGTTGTTCACTGTTTTCTAACTTGCATCCTTTCAAGTGAGAAATCTGCAGCCATCTGTACCTATGTTTCTCTGAGCATATCATATCTTTTTTATCTAGTTGCTTTTAGGATTTTGAGGAATTTGTATCTGATGTGCTTTGATTTTGTTTTCTTCTGTTACTTATGTTTGGTATTCATTGGACTATTTGGATCAATGGGTTTATATTTAGAAAGTTTTAGCCATTGTTTTTTCAGATATTTTTTCTAATCACCACTCCCTTTTCTTCTTAAGGGACTCGATTACACATATTAGATAAAACACATATTAGGTTGTTTAGTTTTCGTTTTGTCACATATCTCACCGATGTCCTGTTTTGTTTTCTTAAATGATTATCTTTTTCTCTTTGTTTCATTTTAGAATATTTCTATTGCTATGCCTTCAAGTTCACTAATTTCTTCTTTTGCAGTGTTTAACTTTACAGTACTCCATGTAGTATATTTTTCATTTTGGATATTATAA